TACCGAAGTGCTCTAGAACTGAAGAGTTTGCCTACCGCTGTGACCATAGATCTTTTCACACTGTGACCCAGCACACATGCGCATATAAAAATGGAACAGGTCTTTTCCAGGATAGTACTTACTGTGTACAAAATACTCTTATTTTTTGTCTTATTTGTAATGCTACTTATGATGCACTGAATGGATTTCAGGGCACAGGAACAGGTTGTGGCCTGCTATTGGGAAACCCCACTAGAGGGTGTGTCAAGAAGCCACACGTGTGTGATGGCTGTGGGGGCACAGGCTCCGGGATCATCGACAGGGCCAGTCCTGGCTTTCACATTGGCTGCTTGGCCTCTCTGTCCTCACACATTAAGTGAGAACAGCAGTGCCACCTCAGAGGTTTGCTGTGGGGGCTTATTGGTTGGAAAGGGCTTAGCTTGTGCTTGAAACACAGTTAAGTACCCTGTAAGCAATGATGGGAGCAAGTCGAGGGCATGTGCCTGGCGGCTCTCTGGGTGGAAGTTGCCTCCTTGGGGTAGACACGTTTCCATGGGGGTCCGTCAGAGTGGGCAGGGGTGGAGTGGTGGGTTTCCCACACAGCACAGAAATTCCTGAGAGCTGGGAGATGTTCTTGGCCTGGAGGGGTTGTTTGGTGGTAGATCAGTGGGGAAGATGTTCTCAAAGTGGAAAAAGCACATGAGTAAGGAGGTGAGAGGCAGTCCAAGTGGGTACAGCCCTGAGGAAGGGGGCTGGAGGCAAGGCACTGCTTTTCTGGGTTTGGGCAGGGGAGTGGTTTGAAGACAAGTGATTTCACAGTAGCACTGTATGTGGTACAGGGCTAGGCCGTGGGGGCCAGGAGGGGGGCACAAGACAGCTGCGAGGGGTGTGTGTGTGCGCGTGCACATACACGCTTGGAACAGGAAGGGGCAGGCTGGGAGCTCCACCGGAACTCTCACCTGGGGTGGGATCAGGAACTGCCCTCATCTGCCCTGAGGATTGAAATCCGAAAAGTTGATCTTTCTTATTTTTTTATTTTTTTTATTTTTTAAAGATTTTATTTATTTGTCAGAGAGAGAGAAAACACAAGTGAGCACAAGCAGGGGGAGTGCAGGCAGAGGGAGAAGCTTGCTCCCTGCTGAGCAAGGAGCCCAATGCGGGGCTCGATCCCAGGATCCTGGGATCATGACCTGAGCTGAAAGCAGCGCTTAACTGACTCAGCCACCCAGGCGTCCCATGAAAAGTTGATCTTTTAATTTTTAGATCGCTCTCACATAAGAGGAACAACAGAAAAGTGTCTGGAAAAAAACTAAAGTGATGAGTGTTTAGCTCTGATGTAAAAGTAGGGGTAAGGTTTCAGTGAATGGTTTCAGTTCTCAAAGACACTAATAGTATTTTGAGAGTCTCTGGGGCCCTGGGCAGGAAGTCCTCTGTGGATATTCAGGAGAAGCAGGTGCTGCTGAAGTTCTCGGTGTCGGGACACTGACCCTGATCAACTTCGTGTCCCCCGCCAGGTGATGCTGTGTAATCCCGTCTGTGGTGTTGGCTACGCTCTGACAGTGTGGCGATTCTTCCGAGATCGGACAGAAGAAGAGGAGATCTCATTAATTCACTTTTTTGGAGAGGAGTACCTGGAGTATAAGAAGCGGGTGCCCACAGGCCTGCCTTTTATAAAGGGGGTCAAGGTGGAGCTATAACACAGCAGGAGCGGGCCAGGCTGGGCCCGGGGGGCCTCCCACTCAGCACGGCCCGGGCCACAGCTGCCTCCCGTCAGCCACTCTGCGGAATGGATTTTCTGAACCATTTTGTGTGTCACCAATTACTCTTCTGGAGTATCACTCAAGACCAAATGGTCAGAAGGCCTTAGGACCAAAGGACCCCACACCCTAGAGCAATCTGTTCTTGGGCTGAATCAAGGTAGGACACAGATCAAACATGGACAAGGAGCAAATAACAGCAATATTCTACAGCGACCCCCCTGAGAAGGGCCCCGGTGAGGGCCCCGGCTGCGCACCATCCCCCACGAGGCATTTAGTGTAACTGAGACCCCTCAGGAGAAGTGGACGCGCTCATTCCTGAGTAAGGCTTCTTTGGCAGGAAGGGGTACGTGGACAGCAGTGCTTAGTGTTAGAAGTACGTTCAGAATCTAACCGGAAAACACAGCACAGCTTCAACCTCCTTACTCCTGTGCTAAGTGCATGAGCGTCTATACGGTTGTAGAGATAATTCTTCACGAGGCACTTTGGCTCTTAATATATTTAATCGTATTTACATATCTATTTTTTATAAATAGCAGTATAAATTCTAAGGGGACTTGGTGTTTATAGCCCCAACTTTTATTTGGCAGACAGGCAGCATGGACACCTCCAGACGATTTGGCTGAGTGGCTTGTTAACAAGGCACTCCCTCCCCAAGCCAGGGAGACTGTGGGCCTCTGTGGCATTCCCTGGGGTCCTGGCTCCTGCTCTTCTCCCGAGAGGGGGCTGTTACCAGTGACAGGCGTGTCGAAGATGTGTCATTTTTCCTTTATCCAAGAAATGCTTACTGAACCCCTGCTCTGTGTGAGGCATTGTTAACCATCGGGAAGTACTACTCTCCATTTATTTGGGATTTTAGTCTTAATGCATCATAGCTTATATTTTTGTGTTTCAATTGAAATTTATTAACTATTGATTTCTATGTTCTGTTCTCAAAATTCCACCGACTCTAATGCCATTTCGGACTGTCTTTTCCAAAGGGGTTCAAGCATATATAACTACAATTCAAGCAAGTCAGCTTACGAAAGTCTTAAATAGAGCAAATGATCCCAACTGAGATTTAGTCAGTATTTTTGTTTTTCAAGTTTGGGGAGAGTGGTTGGCTTTAAATACATCAGCTTTAAGACCCTTGTTTAATTCTGGATAATAGAGGGCCTTGGTCTCAGCGTGAAAAGCGTGAAATCCTTCCTGCAGTTGGCGGTGGCACTACCGAAGCCCTCTCGCGAAGGCGGTGGCCGCCCCTGGCTGCAGAGCTGCCCAGCTGCCACGCCGCGCCCGGCGGCTTCGAGGAGCCACTTAACCTTTCTGTGCCTAGATTCCCCATCTGTCGAATGGGGTCAATACCACCTACCTCATAGGGGTGTTGTGAAAATTTAGAAGAACAACGTCAGACGTTTCAAATACTTAGATAAGAGAGATGGCATAAATGGAATCTGCGCCGTGAGAGATTGCACAGATGCAGACCCTGGTCAGCTGTACCAGACTCTGGAATTGTGTGTTCAGAAGAGCATGTTACCAACTCAGAAATAGTACTGACTTCTAGATTTCATGGCCTAATTAATTTTTTCGTTATTATATATACCAAAGAGGTTTACGGGTTTGTTGATTCCTGGGATGACACTCTTCTGGTGTGAGTGGACCCTACCATCGGCCCTCGAGAGGGCCTTGCAGCCAGGCTGGCCAAGGCCGCTGCTGGAGCTCTCAGCAGCTGGCCCCTCTGGCACGAACACTCCCCAGTGGGACGTCGACATGCACTTACTCTGGGAACTTGAGTTGAATCAGTTCTGACTTGTTCTCCAGACCACGCTTAGCAAAGTAAACTCCACTCATCGGGATTGCAGACTGGAGGAAGGCGTGGCTGGGGTTTCGGCAGCCATCCCCAGCTCCTTGAGGGAAAGTTCTGTGCTGCATCTAGCAGGATTGGACCCAGCTTTCATTCCCGCGGTGGGGGGTGGGGGTGGGGGTGCTGTGAAGTTGTCTTTAATAGATGGAGGACAGCTAACGATGGCCCTTGGCTCTGGACAGAAAGTCTGAAGGCGTTGGCATTTGGTGATCTCAACTTCGTCCGCCTGCTGGAGTTCACGAAGCCCACCTTCTTGCCAGGCTCTTGAGCTCAGGAGGTAGGCCTGGTGTTTTGCAGTGAGATGCTACCGTTACACCACCTGGGCTTTAAAAAGCAAAATCCCATGGGCAGGAGTAGGGACACACCCCGAGCCTGACTTGTACACCCAGAGCAGAAGTCAGCAGTTACTTAGGGAGAAAAGATGAACTACTTAGGGGAAGATTTGGCAAGTGATTGACTTTCATCTAGTACTGACATTTTCAGATTATTTTTAACTGTATAAATTTAGCAGTGACAGTGTACACGACAGAGAATCAGGTTAATGAAGTACAGGCTTTTTGGGTATTCCCAAAAGCTTTTTGGGTAAAGGCCACATCACCAGTTCCCTTAAATTAAGAAACTGTCAAAAGAGATGACTTACTTTTTCCATTGCAGGTTTTAAAGTGGAGATTCTTAAATGGAGAAAAGGCAATGCACAGAACAAAGCTACTTTGAAGCAGCGTAAAATGAAACATTCTGTGAGGATTTGCAGGCTGTGGCTGAGAATAGCAGTTTACAGAAAAGAGGTAGTGAGTAGCAGAAGCCTGGCTGAAAGCGAAAGACAGCATACCCCACTGTCCCTTCATCATTTGTAGGAACTGCTTCTCGAGCCTAAAGACTAAACTTTATTAATCCCTTCCATTTATTTAACACACGGAGTGATTGACATGATAGGGGAATATTCCTAAACCAATACATGTGTTAATAGCTTAGGCTCAGGAGGGTCGTCCGTAGCTCAAGCTCGTTCTGGTAGCAGTCACTCTGTCATAGGTACAGTAAACCACTGTCCCTTCTCTGCACTTTCTTACTGCCTTAGATAGTTGTGATCTCCCACCACATCTTGCTTCTGTAGTGACTTGATGAGGTTGGTGGGAGAGGCTTGCTCTCTGTGCCCTGCTGTGAGACTTGATGCCTTGCCCTGGGCTTGGAGGGCCAGCCGTCACGGGTGGTCCCAAGCGCTTGCTCTAGAGGAAGCCATCCCGTAGCTAGGAGAGTAATTTAATGGAGTAATTATTCTACTCGTCTTTTTACATGCAGAAATGTTTATTTAAATATTTTAAATTGGATTTTCTTTCACAGATACTGAATATTCTTTCCAATTCTTAAATAAAACTGTACTTGATTTCACCATGAACCATAGCGTTATTGGGTGGGACGTAATCATGTCACCTCTGACTAAGAAATGTCTGGGACTTACAGCATAAAACCAGATGCATTTTGCCCACTCAATTCAGTTCTGAATGCTAATCTCTAACCAGTTTGTTACGACAAGTTCCTCCTGCCCCTTAGGCTACCGAGGGTTTGTGATGCTCCGGAATGAGTGTCCATGCTCCAAAACAGGTGCAGAGGTGTCGGATATTGATGTGATGTTTTCATGTGTTGATCTGCTGGTCTGCCTGGCATGTGGAAGCCATTTGCTGTTGGAACCGCTGAGTAAGCTGGATATCTGCTTAAAATGTGGCTGTGTGGACATTTTACCTCCAAAACTTTAAATTTTAGGTCATCTGGGTTAATTTTCCTTTTTAAGCATTTGAGACATTTCACCTGATAGAAAGGGCAACTGGAAAAGGGAGAAAAAGTTGTGGAGAAGTTGTGACCATCTCCTGCCGCACATGCCACTGGCTGCTGCTGTGAGCTCAGTCCTTGTGTGAAAGGAGAAAACTGGAGTGGGGTTTCCTCTTTGCTGAGTCCGTGCTCAGGTTGCTGGGTGGAACTTACCAGCAGGGCCAGTGCTGCACAGTGCTGGAGTCTCCTTATCTCAAGTTTGGACTGGTGCGGGCTGATGGGAGTGCAGGTCCCCGCATGCAGACGCCAAGGGGGTGCCAGAGCAGCGAAGGGCTTTTCCTTGTGGACTGGGATGCTGTCCGCAGCCACGTGATGGGGACCAAGACTTCGTGCAGTGCGAACACAGGGAAGAGTGAAGCTCAGCTCAGGCCAAACAAGCTGAAATGAGGACCTGTCAGAGTTTCTGGGGTCTTCTGCTGTCTAGTGATTACCCTGTGTTTCATGATGGGAACAATGTTTTCTTAAATATCCCAGTCTTGATGTGCAGGCTGTAAAATACCCACCCCTCAGGACCAGTCCCATTTGCTAAGTCAGGCGCTCTCTCCGTGTGGGGATATCACCCCCGTTCTTCTGTCTGGGTCTATGAGGGTCTTTATTCTTCAGTGGAGGCTCTTCTGTGAGGCTGTTCAGAGTCCGGCCGTTCCCTCTAGGTTCTGATGTTTTCTCTCTCTTCTCTGTGACACTCACCGGGTCATTCCTAAAGGAACACTTGACGTGAGGTCTACTCACCACCCCCATGCCAGCACTAACATCCACTGGGGCCAAGGCTTTTGGAATGGGAAGCCTTTCTGGAAGTACCCATGGGTGAACCAGAACTGTATCATCTCCTAAAGGATTCTCATCCCATTTTTTTCTTTTCTTTTTTTTTTTTTTTAAAGATAATATTTATTAGCACAAGCAGGGGAAGGCGGCAGGCAGAGGGAGAAGCAGACTCCCCGCTGAGCAGGGAGCCCGATGCGGGGCTCGATCCCAGGACCCTGGGACCATGACCTGAGCCGAAGGCAGATGCTTAAGCGTCTGAGCCACCCAGGTGCCCCTCTCATCCCGTTTCTAATGATTTTTAGTTGCCCAAACATCGGCAGTTCAGGCCTTCTCAGAGCCTTGTGAAAACAGGTTTGAATGGACACTCCCCTGGAGCATCCGAGCAGAACGTGGTGGCAGGGAGGGTGAGACTAGTTTCTGGCCTGTCACAGCAGCGGACTGTGCCATGTCCTCCAAGCTCTGCCCACTCTGATTTTTGCAGCCCCGTGGTGAGCACACTTAACTGAGAGCAAAATACTAAAAGGTCAGCCTGTTACAGTGATGTATCTGTTCCTGCGCATTGCTTTTTTCCTCTGGCAAGTATTTTGGCAAACACCGTGCCTCCAGTGAACAGTGATGCTCCCACATCGAGATATGATCCTCAGTCACTTTTTCTCATTTAAGTGACTCTGAGTCACTTGGTGTAAATGCACGCGAGCCAGTCTGCAACCCTCGGCGGTGTGAGCGGTGCAGACAGCAGCCGTGGCCGTTTATAATTCTAGAACGCCAGCCACCTCTGTCCTCCGTGAATTCTCTGGCCCTGTATTTTACAACCAGACCCAGCCGAGCCCATAGAGCTGGTCAGCGTCAAGCCTGGGCCGAATGGGAAAGAAACCCGGGGCCTGTCCCTGTGCCTCATGTTTGTCTCAGATTGAATCACTTGCCACTTGGGCTGGGAAGGCTCGCCTTACCTGGCCTGAGTCTCACCGTTGGCGCTGTCATCACACATGTTTTGTAGGTGCTCCGACTGTTCGTCTGCTGGCGCCTGAAGCCTATGTGAGAGAAAGTTCCCGGGAAGCTTGAAGGCAGCAGAGCCGGCCGCTGACCGACTGTCCTTCAGCTCTCTAGACAGAGAGCCAAACTGAGTGAGACACTCAGGCCTGCCTAGGGTTTTGGTCCTCAGATATTGACTGAAGGCCAGGGCTGCTCTCAGGACGGTTACGTTGTGGTCAGGAAGACGTGCCGAGCTTGGGAAGAAGGCGCTGCAGGACCAGGCAGCAGGGAATGGCAGGAGCAGAGACCTCTGTGGAGAGGATCTCTGGGACAGTCTGAAGCAAGAACATTCCAGGCAGAGGCTGGGAGGGGGGAGCTGGTCTGACTTCCCTGGGTAACTGAAAGGCCATTGTGACTGGGGTGTGGTGAGGGGCTAGTGTGGTTGGAGGTGGACAAGAGGGTCCCAAAAGGGCTGTCAGGCCCTGGAGTGATGGGAAGTCTAGGCTTTAAGAAGACCATTAGCTATGGAACACCCTAGAGGGGCCGGAGGGGGTCGGTGATGGTGGCTTGCCCTGGGGCTGCCATGGGGACAACCATGGGCTGAGACAGTCATGTCAGCAGGACTCCGGGGTTGGTTGGAAATGGGGCGAGGAAAGGAAAGGAATCAGAAGGTCCCTGGCCTTCTCACTTGGGCATCTGGGTGATGCGATGCCCCTCACTGCAAGGGGGGTGTGTGGGGGAGGATATGGAGTCCTGCCATTGGGGGATCCGAGGCACCTGTGACAGACATGTCCAAGTGGAGACCTCCAGGACGGGGCAGTTGGAGAGGGGTCTGGAGCTCAGGAGGGCCTAGGCTGGGAAGGGCTTGGAGGTTGTCTGTGTCGCAGTGGGATTTTAAAGTTGTGGGGATGGATGAAGCCCCTTCAGCATAGGGTGTGGGATGGGGAGAGGCCCTAGGACTGGGCCCTGGGGAGAGCTGACACTTGGGCACTGAGCAGAGGTGGCAGAGTGGCCAGTCTAAGAAGGGACAGCCCGAGCGGCAGGAGGGAAACCAGTGTGGGCTGCCTCAGAACAAGAGAGGAGTGTGGTGAGGACAGCCATGAGCACCACTGAGAGACCAAGGGCTGCGGCCCGAGGTCACTGACCACAGCCGGCCACAGGAGCGGGCTCGGGGGGTGGGGCTGCCGGCAGTGGAAGACCAGGAAGCAGAGGCAGCGACACCAGACACCTGGAGAATGGTGCCCTGGAAAGGGACAGAGGCAGCCTCCCTCCTCCCCACAGACCTCCAGGAGCTGGGCTCTAGCCTGAGCTTTCCCTTTGCCAAAATTGGCCACAGGCGCCATTTCCCCACAGAGCCAGGCCTCCAGGAGCACATTACTTGAAGCTAGTTTCTCACCGAAGCAGAGCGCTCAGAAGGAAATGCACACCAATTATAAGAACGAGGCTTGGTACATGTGCACAGCCTGAACGAGTTTGGTAGGCGGCACCCAGAATGTCACCTCCGTCCAGAGGCCCCCCGGGGGTCATCACCATCCTGACTGCTAATGCCAGAGGATAGTTGTGTCTGGTTTTGAGGTTTTATAAATGGAATTGCACAGTAGGTGGAGTAAGCGACTTTGCGCGATGGGGAGACACGGCAGCTAGGCCTGGGTAGGCCAGGATGCCGTCACAACTGTGCGGGGGCTGTGCCAAGTCCAACCTCGCCGCACGCATGTCAGAAGGCTCACTTGAAGGGTGGCTTGGCGGTTCTGGATGAACATACAATTGCACACACTTTAATTTTCCTTCTTCCTCAAACTCCCGATAAAACTCTAGTAAAGGGGCCAAAACAATAGGGGAAGAAACTTCCCCAGGTTGAGAACAGAAAGGGATAACACCAAAATTTTTGAAGCTGGAGGGCACGTAGTCAGTGGTTAACTACCTCAGCAGACGTGAGAAACCCAAGCTCAGAGTGGACAGTGGGACAAGCCAAGGCCCAGCTCCGTTCACACCACAGAATCCTAGCGGGCCCAGCAACTGGCAGCCCCCTCGCCTCTGCAACGGGGAGGACGGGACAGAAGTAGGGAGGGGGGTGACAGTCAAGGTCCTTACCGCAGAGCAGCTGCCCCTCCCGCACCCCGCCAAAGGGTTAGTCTCTGGGAGGGTACCACACGTAGGTGAGAACGGCTGGAAAGCAGGTGTGCCTGCAAATGCTCCACACAGTGGCCTTCAGGAAGGAGGCTGGGGAAAACACAGAAAAAAGCCCTGCCTACCCTGATCCCCTGCATTGAAGCGCCACCCACGTGCTCTGAGCATCCAGTCTGCCCCTGCCCCCCAGCTCCTAGTACGAGCACATGATCAAAGATGACCGGACAAAAGCCTTTAATGTGGAAGATGGAAACCTAAACAAACAAACAAACTTGGAGGAAACAGAGTTGAGGGAGAAAAAAAAACAACAAACACCCATCAGCCTCAGAGGGGTAAGAAACTATGTCCATGAAACAACAGAAGGCGTGAAAAAAAGTCTAGGGTACAAAACAAGAGCTCTTGGAAATGGAAAACAATGAAATTTTAAAAATAGCTCTTGGAAATTTTCTTCAAAAAAAATGAAGAACTCAGTATAACGGTTGGAAGAAAAAGGACGTCTCACAGAAAGTACAGCAGAGAAACAGAAGAAAACACTGAGAAGGCAAATCAGAGGGCCAGCCCAGAAGAGCCAATATTCAGTAACAGGGATTCCAGAAAGAGAAAAAGTGAAACCAACTCACTGGTTCAGAAAGATGTGTGTCAAAACTGAAGGACATGAACTTCCAGACTGAAAGGACCGGCTCCTTTCTAATGGATGGAAGTAGACCCTCACCAGTGGGAAGTTTCAGAACTCTGGGACCAGAGAAAATTCCACAAGCTTCTAAAGAGAATAAGTAGGTCTTGTCAGTAGGATTAGGAATCAGAATGCCTTCAGACTTCTCAAAGACAGCCTTGGAAGCTAGAAAATAATGCAGCGATGCTGTCAAAGGAGAGTCATTTCCAATCTAGAATTTCAGTCTAGAATTCGATACCCAGGAAAACTATCAATCAAGTGTGAAGGCAGAATAAAGACATTTCAGACTGGTGCTGTCCAAAATATAGACCTCCTGTGCACCCTTGTTCAAAGAACTATGGTGGGGGTGGTGGACTCGACCAGACCACGAGAAAGAGGAAACGTGGGACACAGGAAACAGATCAGAGGTAGGGGTGAGGCAAATGGGAGTCCCCAAGAGGGTGGTAGAGGAAGAGCTCAGCCTGACCACTGTGCACCAGACCTATAGGGCAACCAGCCCACCCTGGGGCCAGGTGACTCAAGGGACAGGCACATTGAGGACCTGCCACCAACATCGCTCTGCTACTGCAACACCTTTTGATGCCCAAGTACAGTGCTGAGAGCCTAGCCTTGTCTAGACTTTGCTTAAGCATGTAGTGAGGAAGTTCTGTGCTCTCTTCCATGTCCTGTTGCCCGGATCTACTGAGGGCTGTCATTACACCCACAAGAAGTATCTTTTGCTTTGACCTACCCCTGAGGGTCAGAGGTGGGCGATTTTGTGCCTAGAAGCAGAAACTCAAAGCAGCCCACTCATTCTGTGTTTTTGGAGATGTCCAGAACCTGGTCTGCCCAGATGCCCTCAGTAAACTCTCATGCCCCGACCCACTGACTTCCTGAAAAGAGCTCTTCTGAATGTGTGGCACCTTTCCCACACACATTCTTAAGTGTCTTGGCTCTCCTGTGAACACCCCTTGGTCTCACCTGGGCTCCAGCCGCTCCTTCACCTTGGCAATGGAGCGGACATAGGGCGTGATCTGCTTGGTGATGGTGGTCAGGTAGGCATTCTCCTGCTTCAGCTGGAGAAGGTCATGGAGCTGGGCTGTGGGAGCCAAGGCCAGAGCGTTGGGTCTTGTTGGCTTCAGGTTCTTACTGTCAAGCCTCATACCATCTAAACATCCCAACTACCTCAGCGATGGCCTCTTTAATTAAAGGGCAACGTGGGACTTGGGAAGGCATTCTGCTTCCTGAATCCTGACCTCACATGCATCATTTTGGGGCATTAGCAATTGTGGGGCAAAGTCAAGGACTATGGGGAAGAGCATGGGAGTTTGTATCTGGTTAGTGGGTAACTGACTTGCTGCCCCTGCCAGCACGTGGGTTAGCTCCAGGAAAGGGGTGCACCCAGCAGCAGTTGCCTGCCACCTTCGTAAATCTCCTGCTCGTTAGCCACCCGCTGGTAGGATTCCTCCCAAATCTGAAAGAGAAAGTGAGTTGGACGTTGCATACGGCCATGAGTTGGAATTTCCACTGGTGGCATTTCTGTCCTCCAGCTACTCAGGGCCGTAGGGCACCCCCAGCTAGTTCACGTGGTTCCAGGCGGCAAAGACCCCAGTTCCAGAACTTGACACACGAGGGCCTCATGTTGGACCAGGCCAAGGTCCTGTTTCTCTCCCCTTCCTGTCTTGGGGTAACCCATGTATAAGGTGCCAGGTGGGGCTAGGTGCCTGGGAAGGGGGTCGCTACCTCCTGGAAGACTGCTCTCATCCCCTCCAGGGAAGCGTACTCCGAGGCAATCTGCACGTCCACCTGCAGGGACTTGTGCAGGATGTCTCCCATGATCTCTGCCCTGATGAGCGAGTGGTGCTTGGTGAGGTCCCGGTGCAACTCTTGTACCTGGTCCTTCAGGTTCTGCATCTCTGCCTGCAGGCGCTGTGCAGGGAGACCCAATGAGTGCCTGTGGTTCCTGCGAGGCTGTGTTCACTGTGGGGGCCAGGTGGCCAGGACTAGATTTGGCCACTGCACTTTGGTGAGAAGGGGTGGGGCCTTCCCGAGCCCGCAGCTCCCTGGCCCCACTCACCCGGTAGGAGTCCTCATAGTGGCGGCAGTGCTCTGTGAACGGTGTATCCTCCCCCTCCGCCAGCAGCACCTTGGTGCTGATGGACCGGTGCAGCGTGGGCTTTTGGACCGGCGACCCCAGCATCTTTCCCACTGGGGAAGGGCAGCTGGGCCCCATCAGCACCTTGGGGCCTGAGCCCGCTGCTAGTCTGAGGAGAGAGCCAGTGTGAATGCAGATTGGGGGTGGGGGGGCTGGGAGGGTCTTCCCCTACTCCAGGCTCTCAGCCTCTTCCCCTGGACTGCCCGCCAGAACTACCTAAGGCCTCTGAAAAAGCCTCTGCAAGCCCCACCCAAGACCAAGGACATCAGCATCGTATTTTAAAAAACTCCCCAGGGAAGTGTCAACGTACAGACAAGAGTCCATCGGGACATGTCAGGCCTGGTCCGGAGTAAACTCTGTTCACTCACACATGGGACTTTGGACATTTGGCCTGATGCCCAGTCTCCCTTGACTGGGGCCCCCAGGCACATATATCCAGCTCAGGCATTTCTCCTAACTCCTCCTGTGTCTCTGGCTCTCCAGACTAAGGCCTGGAAATCAGGCCTTACCCCAAGCTGCCCCTTCCCTTCAGTCCCCATGCGCCCCGTTCTGGGTGGCGGATGCTGCAGTGGCAGCTGGGGACAGCCCCCGGCTCCTCCCCATCCTCCCCTAACCAGGCTCTGCGCCAGATTGGGCAGGGACTTCCAGCCTCTGGGGAGGGCGACAAGCAGCCAGTCCCCACTGCGACGGGTACCTTGTGCCGCCCCCCACAGCCCGTCCCTGCGGCAGGGAGGGCACCCCAGCTGCTCACGTGTTGGCGCCGCCCCCAGCACCTGTCACCCGGCGCGGCCCCAGCAGCAGCAGCGGCTCCAGGCAGCGCGCAAACTCGGCGCGGTGGTCGCTGGTGATCTGGGTGGCAGGGGTGGGTGGTGAGGCGGCCTTTTTACCCGCTGGTCCCACGGCCCCAGCCCAGCCCCCTCCACCGTGCACCTTGCTGTTCTGCGCTGGCCGGAGGTGCTGGGGACGTGTGACGATGCCCTGCAGCCTCTCCATCAGCTCCTGCAGCCAGAGGAGGGTGCTCAGGCCCATGTAGGGGGTGGGGGTGGGGGACGACAGTGAAGCCCCATGCCCCCCCCCCAAGGCAAGGCTGTCTTTGGCACTTCACCTGCTGTGCACTGGGGGCTGCAGCCCTTCCCTGGGACTGTCCCAGAACCCCCACACCACCCCAGCCCCCAAATCCACAGGAAAGTCGGGGGTGGCAGGGCTCCCGGTAGACTCTACACTTTGGGGGAGTGGAGGCTCATGCTCCCTTCCAGGCTTCGCTGTCCTTTTAAAAGGGACTCAGCTGGCCCCTAAATGGTTTGCAGATGATGGTGTGGAGGAGGGGAAGGTAAGCCCAGAGAGCCCTGGTCCAGCCAAAGTGGCAGGCTGCCAAGCCCTCAGGTGGCAGTTGGCTGTGCAGGGTGGGCTGCTGGTCGGAAGTGGGGACACCCTTCAGGAGCTAGGGAGACTCACATAGCCCAGGTCCAGAAACTCAGCCTTATTGGCCAAGCTGAGGAAGGAAGAGCAGATGACCAGGTGAACCTGTGGGTGGGGGGGGGACCCTACTCAGTACCTGGCCAGGGGAGGGAGGCCTCTGGGCTGGGGTGCCCAGCCCTGAACCCCCAGCTCCCCTTACCTGCAGGGTGGGCAGTAGAGTGGCCAGGTGGGACAGCTGCTCCTTGAACGCCTTGTCCTTCTCTTCGTATTGGCTGGGGGAGGGGCAGGCAGCCTCATCTCGGAGGGGAGGGCTGCTCACCCCCACCTAGCTGGGACCTCAGAAGTGGGAAGTTCCATCCCCCAACCACCTTTGTTCATCTTCCCTGTCAGCACTTCCTGCACCCTGAGCCACTCTGCCCTCTTCACCCTGAGGTCTTGCTCCCCAGGGTGGGGCAGGGTCTGCCCAGGTCCAGGCAGTGGGGCCAAGGGGCAGGGGGTGGAGACCCCGCCACCACTCACCTCTGCACAGCCTGCAGCAACAGCGTTTTCCTCTCTGCCAGTTTGTCCTGGGAGGGACAGCCTGCTTCTGACTGGGCATGCCCAGCCTGCCCCCTCCCAACACTCACCCACTCCTGGGGCCCAGCCGCACAGCTGGTTAGGCTGGCTGTGTCTCCGGCCTCCTAGCCCTTCCTTCCTGCATGCCCCCCCTCCCCCCGGCCTGAGAGCCCTGGTGCCCTCACCTGAAATGTCACCTCCTGGGGGGGGGGCGCCTTCCCGCTACCACCAGCCTGGGGCTGGACCTCACCTGGCCACGTGACTAAGTAACTCCCGGAAAGAGCTCCATGCTTGCTGCCCTGCCTCACCGCAAACGCCACAGGCGCGGGAGGTGGGGTGTTGTGGGTACCGGGTCATGGCTGGTGAGGATGCTCAGCCTGTGGCGGTCCAGTGCGCACAGCCCCTCACCTGCATGCTGCCGAAGAGGGCGTGGATGGCGGCCTCCTCCTCCGCCGCGCTGCGCCGCACCTCCTCCACCATCGCCTGCAGCAGCGCGATGGCCTCGCGTGTGGCCGTCTGCAGGGCCTTCACGGCCTGGGAACAGGGCGGCCTCAGCCTGGCAGGCGCGCACATTCCCGGGCCCCGGGGCGCCGGGCACCCCGCGCTCACCAGCACCGCCTGCTCCAGCCGCTCGCAGCCCTGCACGTAGGCTGACTCGAGGTCCACGCAGTGCGCCCGGCTCTCCCTGCGGGGAGCCCGCGCGTGAGCCCCGCTCCTGGCCGCCCTCCTGCCCGCTCACCTCCCGCTCTCTCTACCCACCCCTGCATGTCCCGGAAGCAGCGGATGCACAGCAGCGACTTCTTGTCGGTGGAGAACATGATGTAGGGCTCCGCGTGAAGCGCTGCGGCGGGGTGGGTGGTGAGGGCTCCGGGCAGGCCCACCCCGGCCCCCGGCCCCCCGGGCCCCGGCCCCGGCCCCGGGCCCCCACCCGGCACGCCGCACTCACTGCACTTCTGGAGCACATCGCGGCTGCGCTGGCCCAGGGCCACGATGTCGTGGCGCGCGAACATGCGTGCCCGGTGCGTTTCATCGCGGCAGCGCGCGCACAGCGGCTGCCCGCACGTGTTGCAGAAGTACGTGGTCTCTGCATCCTGAGGACGGAGGACCGAGCGCAGCCTCAGCCTGCCCACGGCCTGGGGAGCCTGAGCCCGCGCCTGTCACTGAGCACGTCAGTCTCAGCCTGGGGCAGGCATGTGGCTACGTGCAGCCCTTTCCTGTGATCCTGACGCCCTAATATACCCAGTTTACAGATGAGAAGAGACAGTGAAGGGGGGTGGGGCGTGGCAGAAACATTCTACCTACAACAAAATTTCAAACTTGAAGGCTTTTCCAGCCCACCTTGGCACCCTCAATATTGGCCAAATGACTGTGCCCACCCTGGCCATCTGGAGTCACCACGAGGCTGGGAGAGGAAAGGGGATGAGGGCCAGTTGTCCCCCTTCCCTAGGCCAGATCCGGGGCTGAGAGTCCAGGTCTTGGGCTGCAGCTGTGGCTTTGACCCCAGCAATGGCTATGAAAGCACAGACCCCAACTCCTTACTTTGGCATTCAAGGCCATTTCCTCCCCTGCTCTCCCTGCCTCCAGCCCCTAACCTCCTGCTGGTCATCGCTCTACTGCTGGAGCTCACCTATCCCAGTACTAGCCCAGCACACCCAGAGCTTTTGATCCTGCAGGGCTGTTCTCCTGGGACTTGGGGTACCCCACCCACCCACACAGCTTCCACAGGTCAGAGTCCCATGTGTTTTTCACAGCCCAGCCTGAAGCCTAGCCTCTGCTCCTTTCATAGACCCGGGGGCGGGGGGCCCGCGGGGAAGCGGGTGGCAGGAACACCTCTCCCCACTAGCACATTGTCCTCACTTCCCCTTGGGCTGCAGGTAGCTGCAGACAGCTCCCCAGGTAGCAGTGGGTCCTGAAGGACAGGCCCAAGCCTGTGCACTGGACCGCCCTTCCTGGAGGTCACAACTCCACCCTGAGTTGGGGACCAGTAAGATCTCCCCAAATCAAATGACTTTAACCTCTGCCACTATCTGCTAGTGCTTCCAGTCACTTATTCTGGACCTCAGTCTCCCCACCTGTAAAATGGGGCCCACATTTGGGATCCAGGGTGCCTTAGGTGTTGGAGAATCCACTGACGGGTAATGGTCTAAGGACATGTTGAGCGCACACTGGGAGCATCAGGGCCGTCAAACCTGGCACCCTCGGTCCCGGCCCACCCCCAGGCATCCCTGCCTGCTTGCTGCACTCCAGGTCACAGTTGGCACAGTGCACCACCTCCGTGCCATCCCCTGAGCTGTCCACCAGGAACTGCAGCAGCCGATCCACCGGAGGGAGCCCGCTGGGGCCCTTCACCACCGTCTGGTGTCTGTGGAGAAGCTACAGCCAAGATCCAGAGGCCCCTTCCCCACAGCTCCCTATCTCCATTCCCACCCCCCACATTCCAGGCTGGAACTAAAAATAGGGCCTGGCATCTGCTAGAAATATCTCACCCAGTGCTCACTCTGACCCTGTCCCTCCCTCTGCCCCGTCCTGGGTGAATCCTGGGGACCCTTGGTGTTGGTGGCAGCCTGGAATGTCAAAGGTGGAAACCTCCCCCTCAACTGCCTCTCATTGCATTGCACAAATTTAGGGACACCACTAATAACTTGAGCCAACATAACCTGCTTATGTTGACCTAAGACTCAAGGGATCCCCAAAGTGGATTTCTGTGAGTGTTATGACCACTGTGCTGAGATCCTGTACCGTAGCAGCACTGCGAGGCGACATGACCTATGTTCTAGCCCCGCTCTTGCCTCCGGACTTTCTTTGTTAGGTCTTTGGCCCGTCACTCCAGGCCTCGGTTAACCTGCTCTGTATAATGGGCGGGAGCCTGCGCACTATGGTGCGGAGAGGTGCGGGCTGGGTGCGGCGCAGCCAGAGCTTTGCCTTCCCTACACCTAGTTCCCCACTCACACGGAGCCAATCTCCCCCAGGGGTGGCGGGTGTCTGTTGGGGCTTGGAGGCACTCACTGGCACAGCGGGCAGGCGAGGCGGCCATCGGTGGCGCGGCCGCGCAGGCAGCCGGCGCAGAAGTCGTGGAAGCAGTCCAGCAGGCACGGGCGCTCGAACTGTGCGTGGCACAGCGGGCACACCAGCGGGTGGCCGCTCGCAGCGTCCAGGGCGCCCAGGCCCTCCAGGGGCGCGAAGATAGCTCCCGACATCTTCTGGGAGAGCTCAGGAAGGCGGCGGGGCGTGTCCGATGCGGGAACCAGGCCGCGGAGTCCGCGCCAGCCCCCACGTCCCCCTCGGCCCCCGCGAGCGGCTCCCTCCTCTCTACCCGGCCCGCACCCGACAGGGCGTCCAGCGGTCGTGGAGCGCTGCGGTTGGGAGCGCCCGGAGCAGGGAGAACCGGCAGGAGGCGTGCGGAGGGGTCCTGTGCGCGCTCCCCGCCTCTCCCGCGCCCCCTTCGTGGCCCTGGAAGGTCAGACCTGGCAATGCGTCCTATCCAACGTCTAGCCTCCCCTGCTTCCACTTTGCCCACCGCACTCCCTCACTCCCACCCCAGGAATTCCCCTCCGGGTGTCCTCTGGGTGACCTGCAGGCGACACCCCTTCCTCGCCGGGCCGCAGCACGGCTCGGGCATGGTGCTCCCGTCCATCCTTCCCAGGCCGGCGGCTGCGCCTCGCCCCGAGAGCAGAGGCGGGAACACCGAGGCTGGAAAGACCTGCGCGGGGCGAAGGTCCGAGGCTCTGACTGGCCCCCGCCCGGGACGACTGAGCCCGGAGCCGCGGGAGCGCCGCGCAGGGCGGAGCCCGAGGACCCTGACTCTGGGCTCCTCCGGGATGCGGAGGCACGCGGGCTAGACCCGCTCTCTCCCTGCGGACTGGGGCCGGGACGCGAGTGAGTCTGCGCGTCCCCATTTCTTCCACGGCCAACTGGGGGCGCCAGAGAGCAGCGGCCGCCCCTCCGCAGACAGCCGGGTGCTGGAGAGAGCGCCTGGGCGGGGGAGGTGGGGGTGGGGTGGGGGTGGGGGTGGGCTGGGATCCCAGGCCTGCCTCTGGCCGGTTGGGGTCTCGCGGCCAAGTCACTGACCTCTCAGAGGTGAAGCAGGGCCGGCCTCTCGGTGATGCGCGCGAGCTTAATGAAGTGAAATGCGCCTACTAGGCTTCTAAATAATTAAGGTCCCCACCCCCATCACCAGCCGAGTTCCCAATAAGAAGGGGTGGGCTTGGGAGGGAGAGGAGGTTCTGAGCCTTTCCGGCAGGGCTCCCTCTGCTGTTCTTGGCCTGGCCAGTGCTTGTTTATCCCAGTGTTGTTTTCTAGAGTGCCTTCCATCTTCAGGTCATTATCAGCCTTCTCTGCACGTGTTATTCTGAGCTCTGGGAAAGCAGCCTCTGTCTCTGCCTCTCTTGAAATCAGAGTCAAGCCCAGAGCCTGACCCACAGAAGGTGCTCTTACTAATCAGTTAGAAAAAGCTAGTAATTAATATTCAAGCTGGGTTTTGAAGGATGAGTAGGTGTTTGACAGGGGAAGAAAGGAAGTGAATTCTAGGGGTAAACCACCTGTTCTCTTAAGGGTCCTCTCTACTCCGGGTTCCATTTGTGCTCCAAGCAGCAATAACTGAAATAACAATGGCTAATGTTGTGGGCCAAGGTACTATTCAAAGTTCTTTTACTAGTATTAATTCACCTAATCCTGAACAACAGCCTCAGAAAGTAGAAAATGTTCCCCTAGTGAGTGGTAGAGCTGGTATGCAAAACTGGCGGAGGCTTTATAAATGAATTATGCAGCAGTTTCCCTCAGGAGGGGCAGTAGGAGGTGGATGTTCACTTTTTTTTTTTAAGATTTTTATTTATTTATTTGAGAGAGAGAGAGAGTGAGTGAGAGAGAGCACAAGCAGGGGAAGAGAAAGAGGGAGAAGCAGACTCCCCACTGAGCAGGGAGCCTGATGTGGGACTCGATCCCGGGACACCAGGATCATGACCTGAGTTGAAGGCAGCCGCTTAACCTACTGAGCCACCCAGGTGTCCCTGGATGTTCACTCTTAATAAGCAGGCTTATTTAATCCATCCATTCTTATCTTCATCTGTTACTGAGCAGAGCCATGGGCCATACACATGGAAGGGAACACAGCACAAATAGACAAGTATAATAATGGCAGACTGTGGGGCGCCTGGGTGGCTCAGTCGTTAAACGTCTGCCTTCGGCTCGGGTCATGATCCCGGCGTCCTGGGATCGAGCCCCGCATCAGGCTCCTTGCTCACCAGGATGCCTGCTTCTCCCTCTCCCACTCCCCCTGCTTGTGTTCCCTCTCTCGCTGTGTCTCTCTCTGTCAAATAAATAAATAAAATATTTTTAAAAAATTAAAAAAAAATAATGGCAGACTGTGCTAAATGCTCCAAAGAAAATTATCAGGATGATGTGAAGGAGGGCAGTTGGGAGGGCACACTAGGTAATCATGGGCAGAGAGGGGCACCGAGCCTGAGACCTTGCAGGACAAGAAGAAATCAGATACAAGAAAAGCCACAAAGAGTTCAAAGCAGAGGGAGCAACAGGTACAAGGCCCCAGAAGCTGGAAAAAATGTCAAGCCAAGTACAGTAGACCGATGTGTGTGAGACTCAGGACCTCAGGGTTGGGGTGGTGCTGAGGATGGAGGGGGTGGGATGAGGAGCATGGGTTTCAGTGTGGGGAGAAGGATGAGGGGTGGAGTGAGGTCATGGGGGGGGGGTTGGGTCTACTTGACCTTCTAGACTAGAGGTATCAAGGAGACCATTGGTTGTATGTGAGGAGTCTAGGGACACTTGGGGAGTTATACTTAAAGGCATGATCTTGGGTCATAACAAAGGTCAAGTGCAGATAAAGATGAGGGGAGCTGTGTGCCCTGAGGCCCTTCAAGCCCAGGGAAGGGGAGGGAGCAGCAAGGAGATGGAGAAGGAGTGGCCAGTGAGGTGGGAAGAGAGCGAGGAGAGGGTCCCAGGTCCTGGGGTCCCAAGGAAGAAAGGTCAGCAAGGAGGAGGGAGTGACCCACGGTGTCAGATGCTGCTAGGGAAGCAGGAAGAGGTTGGAAACCGGACCCTGGTCCTGAGCAGGGGGACATCACCAGTGACCTGAGTGAGAGCTGTCCCCATCACCGGGGCGCAAAGGCCTGACCAGAGTGGGTTCAACAGACGATGGGAGGACAGTGCACAGAGGCAACGCTTCCAAGAAAATTGGTGCAAGGAGATTGTCTTAGTCCATTCAGGCTGCTGTAACAAAATACCACAGACTGAGTGGCTTCAACAGCAGAAATTTCTCACAGTTCTGGAGCTGGAAGTCCAACATCAATGTACAGAAGGATTTGGCTCCTGGTGAGAGCCCAGGGTCCTCTTCATGGCTTGTAAGTCAGCCACCCTCTCACTCTGTCCTCACAGAGAGAGCCAGATCTCAGGTCTACTTTTTTTTTTTTTAAGATTTTATTTATTTATTTGACACAGAGAGAGAGAGAGAGAGAGTGTGCACAAGCAGGGGGGAGGGGCAGAGGGAGAGGGAGAAGCAGGCTCCCCACTGAGCAAGGAGCCCCATGGGGGGCTAGAACTCACCACCTGGGGGTCAAGAGTTGCACGCTTCACCGACTGAGCCAGCCAGGTGCCCCTCAGGTCCATTCTTTCCCTTATGAGGGTGCCAATCCAATCATGGAGCCCCACCCTCATCTAAACCTAATCAGCCACCAAAGGCCCCACCTCCTCATACCGTCACTTTGGGGGTTGGGGCTTCCACTATGAATTTTGGGGGGATGCATTCAGTCCATAGCAGGGAGAAAAGAAAAGGGGTGGTAACTGATGGGAATGTTAGGAGATCAAGAGACTGCCTTTCTTTTTTAAAGATGGGAGATATTAAATAATGATTAATCCCCAAGTGTCAAGCTGGTCTCTGATGGGAACAAGGGCTCTTGTTCCGAGGTAACAGTGGGTGGGGTGGGATGGCGGTTCCTGGATGTTGCTGGGTGGTTAGATGTGGGCGTGTCTGAATACTCTCTTTGGATTGCTTCTTTGTTTCCAAAGAAAGAGCAATGGAGGGGCACCTGGGTGGCTCAGTTGTTAGGCATCTGCCTTAGGCTCAGGTCATGACCCCGGGGTCCTGGGATCGAGCCCAGCATCGGCATCGGGAAGCCTGCTTCTCCCTCTCCCACTCTCCCTGCTTGTGTTCCCTCTCTCGCTGTCTCTCTCTCTCTGTCAAGTAAATAAATAAAATCTTAAAAAAAGAAAAGAAAAGAAAAGAAATAGCAATGGAAGTCATCAGCTGAGAGAGAGGCTGGGGAAGACGGGCTGGCATTCTGACCAGAGGTGGCAAATAGTCACTTAGGAGAGGATGCTTGGATTGTCAGGCAGCCTCAAGGGCTTGCTGGGGTTGGGAGCTCTATCAGCCAGGAGAAAGCACACCAATTTTTTAATAGAATTTAATGTAAAGGATTGTTAAGTAGGTATAAAGACTGGTAAACTAGTTAATGGAAGGGGTGAACAAGAGCAGTAGCAACCGTAGGAAGCAGCTGCCACACCTAGGGTGGTTTTATTAAAATGTAGGAGCTTAAAGGACGGGCCCCAGGGAGTTGATATCTTGGCGGGGGGTCGTGCAGCTGGGTTGGGCTGGGGTCTCTGGGGAGAAGAAAGGAGACTGGTTCTCCATGTGTTGGAGTAACTGCAAACTGGATTCAGCTACTGTTTCTGGAATGTGCCATCCAATGGCCACTACCAGGATGAAGAAGCAAGAGTGGGTGACATTGACAGAAGAGGAACAAACAGGAAGCAAACAGGATGATGCCCCTCCAGCCCCTACTGAAAGAACAAGAACGGCAGCAGCCTGCAAAGCAGGAATGTGGTTTGCAGGCAAGAATAGCAGGATGGGTTCGGTACTTGGTCACCGGGCACAAAAGGCCTGAGTTTAAGCCTAGACCAGTCAGTATGGTGTGTTTCCTCCAACTATTGTAAGCCAGGATTGGATTTCTGCCAGATGAGGACATTGCAGCCAGGTGCGTGGAGGACGCATGCAACTGAGTGGTTACAACAAAGGACCCCAGGATGTAACTGGTAAGGACAAGAGGGGGTGAGGATGGGTGGAAAGCAGTCCAGTGGATCGTAGGCCTGGGGATGAAGACCCCCCGCTACTCAACTTGTGGCGCATAGAACCCCACCACCAGCAGCATCTTCGGGGAGCTTGTGAGAAATGCAGAATCTCAAGCCACTGAGACCCACTGAATTGGAATCTGCATTTTGAGGAGATCCCCCCCGGTGATTCCTGTCTACGTGCCAGCCTGAGAAAGGCAGGCACAAGAATTTTTGGAACTGGGAAACTACAAGGCACGAGCTGGAAAGCTAGGTGGTGACGATCGGAGGGTGGGCGGCTCGTATTTGAGATGGCGGAGGGGTCAAACTGGAGCGTGCACCTGCCTGCAGCAAGGAGGGCTAGCCCTGGGAGATACCGCCCCTGGGTACCTGCTTCAAGGCTGGGCACTTCAGGTAGGAAGAAGCCAAAGTGCATCTCGGGCATTAGTACCCCAGGACCAGAAAGGCCTCACCTCCCCAAGTTGGTGGGTTCGACTCCCATTCCACTAGCTGGTGATACATGGTTTCGTGAATTTCCTTATTTCTTTTCTCTTTCCAAAACTTTCAAAAAGTAGAGCGAACCCCTTCATTTCTCTTTGGGCTCGTCCAGCCTAGCTCCCCCCCTCCGATCGCAGTGGGACAGGCCACCCGGCCTCCTTCCTCCCCCCTCCCCCCGCCCCGGCCTGCAATAGGACGGGCTTTGCATTCGGGGAAAAGCAATCGCTCCCCGAACGTACAGAACAGGACGAAACGGTGGCGGCCGAGGGGCGTGGCAGAGCTATTGGTACGGCCTGAGCCCTGCGTGCTCTGCGCGCTGCGGGCTCTTTGCGTCTGCGTAGTGCGCCCACCTCCCTTTCTGCCTCCGCTGCCGCCATGGCGCCCGTGGTTAGTATGGCTCCGCGTGAGGCCTCTGCTCTGGGCAGGCACGTGGGCTTCGCTGGCCCGGCTCCTGCCCGGCTCGCACGGGACGACGCTCTGCAGAGTCCGGCCGGGGCCGGGCTGGCAGGCCGGCTGGAGCGAACCAGGGCCGCTCCGGGGACCAGCACGTTGTGGGCGGAGGAGGCCGCGGCCTGGGGCGCGAGAGGAGCCCCGGAGCTCTCGGGAGGCCGCGGCTCGGCCTCGGGCCCTTCTCTACGGCCAGCGGGGAGCTGGAGCGCCCAGGCTGCGGCCTGGGCCCTTGGGAGCCCGGCCGGCGTGAGGCAGCCAGGGTCTGGGCCTGGCTACCTGGGCGGAGGGCGGGGAGGAGGTAGGGGACCTGCCACCCTCGGGAGCCGCGCATCCGGGAAGCCTACGGCCGGGACTCGGGGACCAGTGGGAAGGGGGCCTGGCCGGCTTGTTTTCAGAGAGAGGCTTGGGTTTGGGGACCCTCGCAGCGTGCGTGGAGGAACTTCGTTCCTCGGGGCACACCTGTACGGACCCTATGTGGTCTAGGGCAAGGCCCGGCTCCATTCAGTTCCAGCCGGGCGGGCATCTGGCCGTGTGGCGCCCTCATGTCACTCCACCTGCAGCTCGCCGTCCTCACAGGTTGCGTCGAGCAAGTCGTGTTCCTGCCCCCCTTCTTTGTTGCGACACCCTTGTTAACATTTTCGGTTCACCTAACTCTTTCTGCCTGAGCAGGTTTTTAATGCCTATGCATTTGTATGCCTTTGGTTTAAAACCTTGATGGAAGGTTTGGAGCCCATTGTGGGCAGGTCCTTTACTAGCTGATGTGTCTGTGTCGGGGCTAGATCTTACAGCAACCCTTTTGATCGTTACTAGGAAGAGACGTCTTGAAAAGAGATAAGTGATGTTTGCAGAAGCTAAATGTTTGAAAAGCTGACCCAGTCAGATTTTAGATGAAAGTCTTCTAAAACAGGAAGGGAGACCAGATGTGTTCTTGGAAAAGTCTTTTTAGATTCTGTGAGGCTTTTTGGAGTGGACGCATAGGCGGGTAGGTAACGTTGTACAGATGCTTTTTTAGTGGTGTTGGAGTTTGCAGAGGGAGAAGACTAATGGAAGCTTTGTGAGTAAAGGAGCTGGATCCTTGTAGGGTGTGCTCAGACTGATGGTTTAACTCATAACGCAGCAGTTGATGGTGTGTTGTAATTAGAACCTAAGTTTTAGCCTTATCTCGTCCCAACTGGCATAGATGTGTTGGTAGGACGTTCAGTTCCCTAGGAGGTAGGTGAGATAGGATTAAGGGAGAACAGCTTAACTGGATCGGGACCCCTAAGTCTGGAGAGTTAGGACAAGTATTCATTTCAGATTAAAATTGTTTCAGGTGTGCAAGACATTTGTATGCCTGCCCTAATCCCGGAATAAAGTGAGTGACGCTTCATTTTGGAAGTTTTATGGTAAATAAAAGGAAATGTTCCTTTTATTGTGGTTCGTAAGATAACAGACCTTCATGCCCATAGATTGGGGAGGCTGGAAAGTGTAAATGGGCCAAGAGTGCTAGAATGATGTGCCCTTCAAAAGGGCATGACTCCAGGCCCCGAAGCTTGCAGAACAGTATCTTGGGTATTGCCCCTGGACACTCCTGGGTAGAGCACAGTGTCTGGGCAGGTTTCTTGCTTGGCTACCTGGCAAGGGAGCACAGCTCCACAGGTTTTGCATTTGTATGGGCTTTTCCATCTCAGGCATTTTTGGTTTTGTTAACTTTTTGGTGGTTGGGGGAGGGGGGGCTGGTTGTGCCTTCATCTCTTTATCATTTGTGTACCTTCTTAGAAAAAGCTTGTGGCGAAGGGGGGCAAAAAAAAGAAGCAAGTTCTGAAGTTTACCCTTGACTGCACCCACCCTGTAGAAGATGGAATCATGGATGCTGCCAATTTTGTAAGTTACACCCTTGATGCCACTCAGGACAGTAATGAACCTTCTGGGATGTTGCTGAGAAAACCTACCTGCCAGAGCACATTTCCGGTCTCAGGCTCATAGGCAGCCCTGCAGTTCTGGCTCTGTGTGCAACCTTGGAACTTGGTCTGGTTATTTGTTTCCAAGTCTAGCTTTTTCTCATGTGTGTCAGTGGTGAGGAGTAAACATCAGTGCTAGAGAACTACCTCAGTTTCTTCTCCCTCTTTCATTTTGTTTCCAAAAACGAATTTACTTAAAAGTTCCCAGGGAACAGCAAACTCCACTGGACCCAGTGCCCCCTTTGCACTTGGGTGTGTTTAAGCATAAGCATTGGGCCCTGATCCTCACGGGACGAGGGGTTGCCTCCCCTGGGCCTGACTGCTGGACAGATGGCAGCATTTCTTCAAGCTTCCCATCTTGTTAGGTATCAGAGCTGCAGTGTTTATGTTAAAATATCCCGCTTGCTGACTTGTGATTGGAGCTTGTTTTTTCCACACGCTGCTCGGTACTGATACTTTGCCCCTATGTTTGGCCTCATCCCCCAATATTTTTCTGTTTCAGTTATATCTAGAAAAATTAACCTCAGTCCCACATTTTGACTCTGCAGTGTGGTTTTCGCAGTTGACTTTTCCTATTCCGTAGCCACACCTGGGGGTTCAGACTTCTTGTGCAGAGCCTTCTGACTCCTCATTTGCTCCTCCTTGCCAAGATAATAGCATTAAAACAAGAATAATTTCAGGTGAAAAAACCTAAAGACTCAGCCTATGGCCACTAATTCCATTGAATGGAATTCCAGTAACCTCTTGTGTCCCTGTCCCCAGGAAGTCCCCGAATCGGCTCCTTAGTCTCTTCTTTTTGCAGTGACTTCTTATTTTCTCTGGGGCCTCTTTTCCCTCCTAACCTTTGTGGCTTCTTCCAGTTTGTGTCTGTGATGGCCCTGCCCTGGTGTCCTTTCCCTCTGCCTTCTCTACACTCACTTGTATATATGATTATTTTTCTTTCTAGAAGTTTCTGTAGGATAAAAAACTTGAGTCATTTATGAGTCTCAGATGCAAATGTCGGGATTTCTGACCTAGTCACTCTACCCTGTGCTCAGTTAACATATGGTGTATTGGAAGATTTTTTAATTTTTATTTATTTATTTTTTTTATTTTTTAAAAGATTTTATTTATTTATTTGACAGAGAGTGAGAGCAGGAACACAAGCAGGGGGAGTGGGAGACCGGAGAAGCAGGCTTCCCGCCGAGCAGGGAGCCTGATGCGGGGCTCGATCCCAGGACCCTGGGATCATGACCTGAGCCGAAGGCAGTCGCTTAACGACTGAGCCACCCAGGCGCCCCTAAATTAAAAAAATATTTATTTATTTTTTAAAGATTTATATGTATTAATTTGAGAGAGAGACAGAGCACAGGCCTGGGGGGAGGGCAGAGGGCAAGGGACAAGCAGACTCCTGCTGAGCCTGGAGCCCCATGCGGGGCTCCATCCCAGGACCCATAGATCATAACCTGAGCAGAAACCAAGAGTTGGATGCTTACCTAACTGAGCCACCCAGGCACCCCAGCGTATTGGAGTTTTTAAAGAGGATTATAGGGGTTTGGGGCTGAAAGGGACTTCATATCCTTGCAAGAGCAAGAAAACCAAACATTCCTTTTATTTTTATCTTCTTTCTTTTCCTTCCTTCCTTCCCTTCCTTCCGCCCACTCCGGGGCGCCTGGGTGGCTCAGTCGTTAAAGCGTCTGCCTTCAGCCCAGAAGGCTGGGATTGAGCCCCGCATCGGGCTCCTTGCTCTGTGGAAAGCCTGCTTTTCCCTCTCCCACTCGCCCTGCTTATGTTCCCTCTCGCACTCTCTCTCTTTCTACCTGTCAAATAAATAAAATCTGGGGGGGGGGGAAACGTAGGCTCTATGCATGCTCCACCAACGGAGCCAGCCAGGTGCCCCCAGAGTCCTTTTTAACAGAGACTCCTGAAGTCCATGTAGTTGGATGACCTGTCCAGCCTTCCATGGGGAACTAGCGTCTCTGGGCTCCTGGACTGCTGTCCGCGTGCTGTGCGTGCACAGGGCCCCTGAGCTGATGAAGAATTTGGGTTTCTGCATGTTTTGCTCCTTGTACCAGGTTAAAGACTTCTTCCTCTGATGGTACTGAGAGCAGTGCCTTATAGTTCTTAGGTTCAGAAGCTGTAGGTACTTTGTAACAGTTTGGCCCTAGGTTTCCTGTCTTGTCTTACTTTGGCTTTTCAGTCAAGCCTTTTGTATAAAGGCGCATCTGACCTTGTGTGGAAGCTGGCAGGTACGTTCATGCTGGGATGTTTTCATGTTCTACACGGAGATAAAGGTCAATAGTGCCATTTTCTAATTGCTCTTAGATTTCAGACCTTGTATTAATAGCTGAAGATTGGCTATAATTTTTTTAAAAGACTGAACATTTGAAAAACAACTCTTTGTTCGGTGTTAGGAGCATAAAAACATGCAAGGGTCTAATGAGTGGGTGGAACTCTCACTTCACTAATTGATTGATTTGACGATTTCCACAGGAGCAGTTTCTTCAAGAGAGAATCAAAGTGAATGGAAAAGCTGGGAATCTCGGTGGAGGGGTTGTAACAATTGAAAGGAGCAAAAGCAAGATTACTGTAACTTCTGAGGTGCCTTTCTCCAAAAGGTATGGGACAGATGAGTGTGACCTGCCGGCACCCTAGCACTGTGTTCCGCCCCCACCCCAGAGGGATACTGCTGCCCCAGAGTCATTCGGGCTTTGCTGCAGCTGTTAATTCCTAGAATGGGGCCCAGTGCAAGGAGGCAGTGAATGAATGAATGTTATGGGGGTTAAAAGCATTCAATTTTTGATAGTTTTAAAAATTTCGTTTTTCACGGACTGAGGTATTTCAAGCAGTAGAGATGCTCAGACCTGCTTAGTATTAAAAATGAGAATATTGCTTCTTTTGCCTCTAGGTCACAGTTGAGGAGCTTTCGTTTTTATTTTACTGAAGTGTAGTTGACATACAGTGTTGTATTAGTTTCAGGTGTCCAGCCTAGGCATCGATTCTCTACATTATTCAGTGTTCACCATAGTGTGCTTTCTTTTTTAATTCTATTTATTTTCCCTGTAAGTGCTAGTATCATTGGGTGAGGACTCTGAGATCTCAGTGTAGACTGAAGCCATCCTTTTAATTCCTGTGGGCCTGTTTTCTAAGTCAGAGACCCCAGTTCACTTAGCCTGCGGTATTACACGGTGGTTACAAGCAGTCGGACCTGTTTATACCTGGCTCCTAGCCCAGAGCCAGCATATTCTTAGGAACTTTCAATCAAATGAATCAAGTAGTCGGAAATTTGAAGTTGTATTAGGACAGACAGTATAGTTCAGCCTTTGCTTTTTAGCTTTAATTATTATTGGTCAAGAAATGACTTCCTATTCTGCCTGGCTCGAGTTCTTTTTATTTGTGCAGAAGGAGATCTGATACCATGAGAGACTGGTGCAACAATAGGGTCTCCAGGGCGTACAAAGCCTACAACTCTGGGCTTCCGCAGAGCTCATGGGGGAGATGCTGTGATCTTCGTGACCCGTTTCCACGCTTACCAACCTGGCGTGAGAATGGCTGCTAGCACCCCTTCCGTTTTCACAGATGCCTGTTTGTCTCTAGTGTGGGAAGACTGGAGCCTTCGTCTTCATCACTTTCCTCTCGGTGACGATAGTTTGACTGTCTTGTAGCGTTCTAGGTGTTCCTACTTGAGGACCTTTTCTTGTCTCCGAACTTCTGTAGCTTTTTCCCTAGTTTCTCGAGGTTCTTTTATGACAAATTTTAAACGACCGGAAATTAACCCCCTCCTTACCGGAATACTATGTGGTAGAAGAAATAAATGACAGAAAAGAATACTTTTTAGATGGAACGACCAAATTGATTTATTTTTATATAGGGAAAAGAGGATAGAATTGAACTGAGATCTTCACATCTTTGTGAAGATTGCTTTGTTGACAAGTAACACTGTTGAACAGAACAGTATTCATTTCTTGGAGATGGTGAGTCTGTTGGGGTTCATTAATACTTGGGTCCTTGCTCATAGGCCAGTTTCCCTGTGCATCTCCTTTAGTCCCCATAACGGTTGGAAGAGATGGTAAGTATCAGGAGTTTCATTTCATAGAAGGAGAAACAGGTTTGGAAAGGTTAACTTGCCCAGCAGTGACTTGGCTTGGTGTTCTATTCCCTCTTCTCTTTATGGGTTTGGGAAGATGCCCCGGGGCCTCAAGAGTAGGCAGGTGAGAGAAGAAACCAGATTGTAGGCTTTGCGTAGTAGTTGGCATGTTGAGCCCAGAAGCCAGTTGCTGCATTGATAGAAAGAGCGAGTTTTCTAAGCAGTTTGCTGTGGTGACTGCTTAGCCGTCTCCCAGGGCACAGCAACCACACTGAGACTGCGTGCTCTCACCTGCAGAGAGGGGGCCAGGGCAGGGCAGGGTGCGTCCTTTTCCCCAGGAGTTGGGTAGGGAGCGTCCCATCGTAGAAGTGAGCGTATACAGCAGCCCAAACAAACAATCCGATCATCTGAACAACCTCAAAAGGAGGTTCGAATCCACGAGGTGTGATGTATGGGAAGTACTTGGAGCTCAGAAACCCGGTGACTTCTCAATAAAAAGATACTAAGATTGTGTGCTGAATTGTTAAGTTACTACCATGATACCTTTCTCCAGTGGTCACTAAAAGCCACTTCGTAGGTGTTTTGCTGTTTAATGGACAACTTATATCTACTTTTCTGTTCTCAATTTTATTGCCGGTTTAGATGAAATGTGGGTGATATTTTTGGCCTTATCTTTGCCGTTTTTGAATGGTGGGAGAACACCCTGAATTGTAGCGATTTGAATGCACGGGTTTCATAAAAGGCGCAGTGTTTGAGAATGCTGGGAGGCCCTGTGGTGGAGTTCTCAAGTGTTCTTTCTCTGCAGGTATTTGAAATATCTCACCAAAAAATATTTGAAGAAGAATAATCTCCGCGACTGGTTGCGCGTAGTTGCTAACAGCAAAGAGAGTTACGAGCTGCGTTACTTCCAGATTAACCAGGACGAGGAGGAGGAGGAAGATGAGGATTAAAACGCGTTTATCTGGAATATTTTGTATGAGTTCTTAAATAAAACTTGGGAACCAAAATGGTGGTTTTCCTTGTATCTCTGCAGGGTGGATCGAACAGAAAATTGGAGACCGTAGTAAAAGCTTCACTTGGGCTGCCGTTCACTTATTTGTAATTAGACTTTTTTCCTGCTTGAAAATTTTAGTTTTTTTGTGGTAAGAAAAGCAAAGTAAGAGGTAAGCTCCTTTAAGGGAACTGCCAGTGATTTGACCTTGAGCAAGTGGTTAAGGGTGTGGAAATGTGCGCCCTTCAGTTAGTCACTATTTTACTTCAAAAAGCGGGACAGTTTTATCTGGTGCTTTACTCAAAGATTCGGGTATACCATCGTCGGGACTCCTAGTTCATTGAGCAAAACCAGCGACTTCTTCAGGGTTCTCTTGCAGGAAAAAGGTAGTGTTGGTAAAAGAGCAGGGTTCTGGGGCATTTACTTCAGTTTTTGGTTACAAATTACTTGCACACAATGACTATGTTAATCCTTTTCCTGTAGAAATAAAATGTCCTTTGGCGCTGCTGCATATTCTCCTACGCTCCAGGAAAGAGTCCTGGAGGGCGGTTATGGAAGTCCCAGGTTTTAAATTAAGTAAACATGCACAAAACTGAATTTGTAAACAATCACGGTTTCTACGGCTCCGCAACGAACTGTCCCTCTGGCCCCCAGCAGGGGGAGCTGGAAATGAGCAGTAGTAGAGCTTCCAGAGATGGACATCTGTGCATCTCCCCAGGATCGCAGCCTTTTCACGGGGTGGGCGCCAAGGAGAAGCGATCGAGGGGCAGTTCATGCTGAGGAGATGAGGGAAAACGACGTGCCCAGGGAATGGTCCCTTCTGTGCCATTTGGGCCATGGCTGGATTTAATGTCAAGTAATTCTACAGACTGACATGAATCAGGGCTAGATGAAAGTGGGATTTTGTTGCCTCACGTGCAGAGGCTAGAGGTCTGTGAAAGGTTACTGAGTTGTAAAGAAGTCATTGTCGTGAGAGCGACTTTGAAAAGAGACCCTGATGCCTTATGGTGCCCTTCCGAAATCTAAACAATTCTGCAGAAATGTGTGCATTGTCTTAAAATTATAGTGTATGAAACCATGTTAAGGTTTGCCCACAGCTAATTTCCACACCTGAAATTCTTGGGCTCTGCTAGCTGCAAAGCTGGAAATTAAATGTTGGAGTCCTACCTTTGCTCCAAATTAACATTTGGTGCTTCTTGGATTGAATTTAACATGTTGAGTCTTTGCAATTTCATTTGTGGTAAAGGCTCTAGCATTTTCTATTTCTATGCAAATTTCTTGTAGTGGAATTGTTTGCATGTTTGTCCACCCTAGGGCAAGGAGAGGTTTCTTTCCAATGTAACTGAGGCATCAGCTGGTTTCTGTCCCTTACCCTGAGCATTAACTTTGTTAGTAAGTTTATGACCTGGGTTTGCAAATTGTACTTGTTTGTTGCATCGATGTTCACCTGTGGTGATTTTTAGTTTCATTGTAAAAATATTAACCCTGGGTGGAAATTAGCATAGAAGTTTTTCTTTTTTTTCTTTCAAACTACTTCCAGGTTTTTAAAACTTGTAATAAAATTGAAACTCATTGGTTTTTCTATGCCTTTTTGAGCTCTTGTAATTGAGTTTTGATCACATTTTATATTAAAGTGGCTAACACATGGCTACTCATTGTGGAAGGCTTTTTTTTTTTTTTTGGTAAGGATTGGCATGTTAATCTATTTAGCAACATTGTTTTCCCTACTAATTGCTGTACGAACAATGACCTTGGTCTTCGTTAAGCCAGAGAAGAAAATGTGTCCTTCATTCCCATTTTCTTTACCTTTGTTGTGCCTCAGCGAGATTCTGGAGTTGGTCATAACTGAACTGTCCGTGTAGAATTTATTTCGATCCAGAGCTGAGAGGATAACTTCGCAAAGATGACTTTTTCTGACAGAAGCTTTGTAGTGGGAGACCTGAATTACTTTACACCCATTACATCTGGACCGCATTTAGACCACTTTGCTTTTTAGCTCTTGACTCCTGACCTACCCGCCTGATGGGAAGTATTCATGGCACAGGAAGAGAGTGGGTGGGTCACGAAGAGCTTCAGGCTGAGGTGTACATTCACAAAGGTGGTGGAATCGGGAGGTGCTGCCGTCTAGTTCTTAGCTGATTCTGGTTACCAACACCATCTCTCGGCTAAAGATTTAGTATTTGTTGTTCTTTCAAAAGCCTCGGTGGCACCCACCTTTCCCGTGACTTTCACTGGTGAAAGTGCTTTTTTCTGAGTAGTGTTACCCTCCCGCCTCTTTGGGAAGAGCCGAGTGTTGAAATACGTGGATCCTGTCTTCACCAGTGGTGCCTGGCAGAGGTGTTCAGAAACGCTTGTGCATAAGAAGGATGGAGCAAAGTGGGGGAGTGAGCCTATCAAACATTTCTTAAAAATTGATAAAAATTACAGAATGTTCTGGAGTATTTAGACCTCAGCCTTTTTAGAGGACACTTGATTTCTTGGAAGGTGTTGACTGGTTCTGTCCCCTGGTCGTCACATTAACCTCCGGAGAGCTTGGAAATTGGCTTTGGCGGCCTGCTTTCATTTCCTTCCTCTAGTTGCCGTGGTCCTTCCCGTGACTTCGCCCTAAACTTGTCAAGTGTTAGAAGCAGAGCGTGGTTCAGGCTTTCCCTGTGAAGGGGCATATGCTTAAGATGTGTGGGTCATTGAGGAGACGGCAGATTGCACAGTAGCAAGGGGAGAGACCTCCTCCCCTTGGTAGCCTTGGACAGAGTGGGGCTGGCTGGGGTCAGAAGCTGGGGAGAGCCTGGGTGGGGTCCTGCTGGAGGTGTGGGCTGAGTTGTAAGGAGCCTCTGTTCTTTGGGGTAATAAGCTGTGGAGGTTACTTCCCTTTTGGGAAGGGAGGAAGGTGAGGAAGAGGCCTGGTCTGTGGGATTTGCCCTCCCAGCAAGGAGGTGGTGCTGAAGGAAGCAGGTAGAAGGCTGCCGTTTAAATGATGTAATCATGCTGCTTATCTCAGGGAACCAAAAACTAAGATTTTGTAATCTAGACATTTTCCTATCTTTCCTATCTTTGGGAGGATCTGAGAATTCACATTCTTTTTTTCTTGGCTATTTCTGGCCAAGCTAAAACAGTCTGTTAATGCTGTGCTGACCAGCTGAGTTAAGCTGATACTGTACCTAGAACCGAGAAAGAGCCCCTAAGATGACTTAAGGCTTATACAGGCACTTTCTCAGGTTCAGGGCCATGGCCCAGAGGTCTGCCTTTCTGAGAAGCCCCTTCCTCATCCCCAGCAACCCCAAGTGATTTGGGTTCGGGTGGGGCACGGCCCGCATCTTGAGAAACAGGCGCCACGTACAAGGGAGATCTTGGTGCGTAGAGGATGTTTGCCATTCACTTTAGAAGATGCTGTGACTCTGCCCGCGATGCAGTCCCCGGAGCAGAGTTCTGACCTGCGTAGCTGCTGGGAGCGGTGTGGGAACGGGGGCTCCACTTCACAGAGCCGTGGGGTGGTCACGATGGGGCATGTTGGTAAAAAGCGGACCTCAGGCTGCATTAAGGGCTGCCTGTATGAGAAATTCCCGTAACCCAGGGATGGAGACTGATAGGGGTGTGTGTGGAAGATAAACCACTTACTGCAACTCTGCTCTTGGAAAAGCAGTTTTTCCTTGGTGCTTTCATAACCAGTATATTTAAAAATACATATTTTGATTTTGAATCGTCCCTGGAGTATAATTCCAAGCTCTGTGATCAGCCAACAGGAGCATCTTG